ATGATTGGAAGTTAGATTTGATCTTGTTTATTCCGATTTCGGATTTATTTCCTCACTGCCAAGTGTGCCAACTTAATCCCAAAAGAATTGAATCTTTGCCACAAATCTGTTTTTTTTATTCCTATAACCTTGCAACCCAATGTAGTAGACCTTAGATATTTCAAACTATTAATTCTGCCAGAGGTGAAAACTTTAGAATGGGGTATCCTTAATCCCGATCGGTTATTTAATCTGGAGATTAATAACAAGAGGAGAAAAAGCATTATTTAATCTGAAGATTAAGAAAAAGAGGAGATCAAGCATTAATCTTGATATCCACCATTCTAAAATTTTCAGCTCAGATCAGCTAATTTAAGTTTGAAATTTCAAAGGTTTACATTATTAGATTTCAAAGATATCAGAATGATAAAACTTGAGTTTGTGGAAAAGACTCAATTCCTTGATGAGACATTACCGGCACAACTTTGTGATCCTTTAGCTCCTCTAGTTTTGATTTGATTTGATTTGATTTGATTTGATTTGATTTGATTTGATTTGATTTGAATTGAATTGATTTGATTTGATTTGATTTGATTTGATTTGATTTGATTTGATTTGATTTGATTTGAATTGATTTGATTTGATTTGATTTGATTTGATTTGATTTGATTTGATTTGATTTGATTTGATTTGATTTGATTTGATTTGATCTGATTTGATTTGATGTACAAATATAAGAAAACCTTTATTTTTTTCAACAGCTCTTTAATAATTAAGAGAAGTTTTGATTGAAACCATTTTAGAATTAAAATTTAAATATTTAAAATTTAGTTGAACGTCGTGTATTCAGTGTATTCAACTAAACATAAAGACGACCCGGAAATTTGATATTATTTATATATATATATATCCATATTTCTAATGAGTAGATAAGTACTTGCTAATCAGCGGCTTACTTCTCACTTATGTGTAAAAACTGGCTCACTCTAGATTAACCTGGGCGAGATGCACTCGGTTTCTTCTATTTTATTTCAATCTTGTTTTGATCTACAATTCAACAATCTTTAACCTTACGGAGTTGTCTTTTTTTTACTTTATCATCTAAAATGTAATGCTGAAAAAAAAAGTATGAAAGAGAAAGAGCAAAATTTATTTTTTATTTGGTCAAAGTTGCAGCTGTCTGGGATGAAACTATGAAATCCGCGTGGGCTAAATACCGCTAATACAACAGCTAAATATACTTAGATAATCTTACTATTCACTAAAGGCAAAGCTATACGTACTCGCTAATAATCTGCTAACTACTTACTAATGAAAGGATAGCTCACTAATGACTGATAACTATTCAATAATGAGCGGCTAACTACTTCCTAATAAGCGACTAACTACTTACTAATAAGAGGCTTACTACTCACTATTAAGCGACTAACTACTAGCTAATAAGCGACTACCTAATCTACTACTTACTAATAAGCAGCTAACTACTCATTAATGAGCGGCTAACTTCTCACTAATGAGCGGCTAACTACCCACTAATGAACTGCTAACTTCTCACTAATGAGCGGCTAACTACTCACTAATGAACTGCTAATTTCTCACTAATGAGGGGCTAACTACTCACTAATGAACTGCTAATTTCTCACTAATGAGCGGCTAACTACTCACTAATGAGCAGCTAATAATGTCCAAATGAGCTTTTTTTAAAACCCAAGAACTCATCTTAAACAACCCTTTACTTAACCGAATTCGCGCAAACCTGCAACTTTCTCCAGGGCGCTCCAGTCTTACATCTACGCGCGTAAGATACAGAGCTCCCTGTGCGCGTAAACTCAAGCGCGTTGTAAAAAGAAAATCTGTGCTATCAGTGATTATAAAGGAGTTTAAAGGAATGCCATTTATTATTTTTAATTAATTAAATCTTTTAAAAATCCATCGCAAAAAATATTATATTTATTTTTACTTTTAATTATCTACATGAATGTTAAATGAACTTTTGAAAGTTTACTAATTTTCAAATATAATGACATTAGTTATCATTTTGCAAGTATAAATTAGTTTTCAACTTTTTTGTTTTACACACAAAAATGTAGATTATGCTAATTAATTCCTGATCGATAAAATTCAGTCCAAATTCGGAATTTCAAGCTAATTTGATGACCTTACTCCACATAACCGCACCCTCCCCTCCCCTCTGCTCTGTTTTGGCACCCCCCCCCCTCTGCTCTGTTTTGGTTTTTTTTTGTGTCAAATTTTACAGAAAGCTCATTTTCACGGTCAAAATCAAATAGGAAAACTGATTGATAAATGGTGGATAAATCAATTCTTTTGAGAAAATAACCGAGGCCTGCAGCTAAGAAGTTTTAAAAAAACTTTTTTCTTAAATGAAGCAATACAAGACGGTTTCGTTTCACAATTGAGGGTTCTAACAACATATATATATATATACTAAAATTTACATTTAACCCCCCCCCCTCTCTCCCATTTTGATAAGGTAATCTCGTCTGTCGTGTTGGATAATGGTTTAGAAAGGATTGATTTAAGTGCTTAAATTTTTTCAAGGCGGGGCCGGGGGTCTAAATCAGATATAAAATAAAAAGGGTGACCTCTTTGATGATTAAATTGTAAAGTGGATTTAAAATCTGGCAAATACTATTTGAAATTAGCAAATTTTCACGTAAGCCAATTTAGATATCTGTAGACCAATCAATACCTTTAGAATTGTGTTATAAAACCGTCATGGAGTGTAATATTAATCCCTAACCCAGAGTAGGAACAGGGTGTTATAAAGCACTGTTTTCTTTGTCTCATTTTTACAGATCCCCCTGTATATATATATATATATATGTGGGAAATTTCATCGATTAGTTTTGGTGTACGCATGAAGTGCTGGAAACCCTAGTGTATAACTATATAAAGCGGTATCATGAGAAGTAAGGAAAAGGGGAACCTTCTTTGCAATGTTACTGTCTAGAAATGCAAAGAAAAAAGAAATAGTTCCTCTTTTTAAAAAATTGATAATTTTTAATTGTGGTTTCTTTTTAAAAATATTGTGATTTCTTTTCAAAAACTTAACTGTAGGACCACTTTAAATTTACAACGACGGTGCTGAACAAAAACAAAATTAAAATGAAGAAAGATAGAAGTAAAAGTATGTTTGAATAAAACGCAAAAGATAAAAAAAATAATGCTTGGAATGGCTACTGCCTTCCCGCTGGGAATACAAAAGCTATAAGAAAGAATATTTAACTCTTCGTGTTACCATATTTACTCATCGTAAAAGTAAAATAGGAAGGGTCTGGTTCTCAGAACCCTTTTTACAGTGCAGTATAGTTGCAAACATATGCATTTTCAAAGAATTTCAATGTGCACTTTTAAAAGCCCTCTAAATACAACAGTTTCATCATATCAGCGCAAAGAAATTTTTTAAAATTTGCATACTATTTTGCAACTAGACTCATGTTAAAATGACGTTGGTTTCAAAATAATAATGTTAAAGAATCTTTATGCAATACAATTTGATTTTAATATTAAGACAGCCACAACCAATTGTTGAGTGAAAAGTGGATATTTTGGCTGGTTGAATTGTTCCTATAAAAGGCGCCTCGTGTAAATGCACGAAAGAGCATTGAAAAATCACGAATATGAGAAAGAAGTGAGAAAAGTCTAGTTGTAATAGTTATGTTAAGAGTATAGGAGAGGAAATGAAATGAATATGACCCTGGGATTAGTAGGCTCTAAACTAATGGAGGGTTAATTGAAAATATTTTATGATGAAACATCATGCATAGAAGAGAAATAGGGGGAAGGGGGGGACCTTAAAAATGTACGGGGAAAGGTAAAAGACTCCCCCCCCCCCATCCCTTGCTCTCCTCCACCTGTAATGATCTTTTCGTAATGATAAAAATTTCTCCCCAAAATTTACAAGTTTCGTGCAAAAAAATTAGTCTGAATTTGCCAAACAAGTATAAAAGTATATAATAGGATTCATGCAAACCCTAGATTTTTGAAATAATCACCACAAAGTCTTCTATACTGAAACTTTTTTAAGATTTAAATTTTTTAGATACACAAACTTTTCTCCATTTACCATGTGCTCACTGCTCAGTTAATATCATTCGTTTCGATAAACATTTCATTTCTTGAATGTTTATATTATTCAATTCTTCCTCTACCGGAAATAAAAAAAAAATGTTCTACAAATTTCAACAAAATGCGGGAAGTAAAAATGTAAATTTTAGAATTTTTCTGAAAGCCACATCTACACTCTCCTCCCTCTTGGCATGCTCGAAAAGATGGAAAAGCTTCCTGGAAAATTGATTCAATTTCATGTTTTCAATTCTTTTCAGTTTTCAATTTTAGTCTTTTGTTGAAAAAGAGTTCAAGTTCCACTCAAAATATCTTTTATATTATAAGTTGTTTATAAAAAAAGAAAAATTGGACAATTGAGTAAGAAAATACATTTTTATTTAATTTCGAAAGAACAGGGATAAAGATGAAAGAAAAAATTATGGTAATGCAGGATAGAAAAAGAATATATTGAAATGAAATGGAGTAAAGAAATGGAGTTGTTACCACAAATTCTGATATGTTTGCAACCCAAAGTAGTAGATATTTCAAACTACAAATTCTGATATATTTGCAACCCAAAGTAGTAGATATTTCAAACTACAAATTCTACTATATATTTGCAACCCAAAGTATTAGATATTTCAAACTACAAATTCTGATAGATCAAATAGTGTGAGTTTGAAATATCAAGGTTTACACCCTCGGATGGCAAAGATATTGGGATATAAGGGATTAGAACATTTGAGTTTGTGGCAAAAACTCCAATCCTTTGAATGGCAGGATGCAGGAAAGAGGAGGGAAGAGGAGGGAAGAGGAGGGAAGAAACAGATTTAAAAATAGTAAAAGCTTCTAATTTGAATGGAATGCTGCGGTTGAAAGGATTAGAATAAGCCTATTATTGAGTTGAACTATATCTGACTTTATTACACATTTAAACCTCAATTCTGGATCAGGAAGGTAGCTGCCGANTCAAGGTAGGATTACAACCTAGAACCTTAAGGTTGGATTACAACCAAGAACCTCAAGGTAGGATTATAGCCTAGAACCTCAAGGTAAGATTAAAACCTAGAAACTCAAAGTAGGATTAGAACTAATAGCAAAAAGGTAGGATTAGTACCAAGAACCTCGGTTTAGACATTCCTGAGGATATATATCTTAGATCTTTATTAGATATATTATATATTTTGTAGAAAATCCTGAAGATTATTTGATAAAAATTTTAATTATCCCCAACCCTGATAAATATCCTAATATCCTTGTTATAATAATGCATCTGAACCTGTTTTTAAAAAGTCTGAAATGCACATTCCAAAGTCTGAATTAATAAAACATTGAAGGTTACCGAATGTATAGTTTAAACCATGAAATTTCATTGTCTTAAATTTGAGCGTGTACGCTGCTTTATCCTTTTTAGCTAAAAATTAAAGAATTCAAATATTGCTGGTTAATTTGTTTATGAATATGTACGCATGGCAATCAAATTGTAAAGGTTCATTTCATCGTCAGCTGTGAACAAGGTTATAATGCGAGGAAAGTTATTTCAGAGGTGTACGCATCTTTTGTACTGCAGTGTACTGTCTCTGGGCGGTAACGTAAACACAAGACGGATGTCACAGCCTGACATGGGATCCATATTTCACATAAAAAATCAATGAAATATTCTGGTCAAAGAAAACTATGATTATGTGAATTATCAAAATTATCAAAATTAAATGCTTTTATCATACACAGATACCAACCGAGAGAACTGGATCCAATGTGTACGCAGAGTATAGACAACTGCAATCAACTTTCCTTGCATTATAACCTTGGCTATGAAGAAATCTACGAGTCCAATCCTAAAAAAGTTAAACAGCTAATTTTTCAGTTGTTTCCATTTTCAATATTAGATAAATGTTTAAAGGGATTTTTAATGAAACTCATTCAGTCCCTTTTTACCCTCTCGACACTTTACCCTATCGTCGCCAAATTTTTTTGAATTTCTATGCTTGTCTCGTATTGAACCCCCAGCAGGGGGTAGGTACAACCAGATGAATATAGAATGCATCCTTCATAGGGTTCAGGGTTCTCAAGTTTTCCAGTTCTAATCTATAGATGAGCTCGGAGCTGACATATTTAAAACATTGTACATATGTCTTAGAAAAGCTCCCGCTGGGTAACTTAGAGAACCCAAGACCTTAAGCAACTCTAGAGGTATTGTAGAGTGGCGTGCTAGATTCACAACAACACCTTTTAAATTCTTGTCTGATGAGGAATGTCCGAAAACAAAAAGTTTTTGCTTTCAATTTCGTCGGAAAACAAACACAAAGATATCCAATGGAAAATGAGTGCAGTGGTGGAAACTTAAGAGAAAACAACCAAATTTTCAGGTTTCGATGATAACTTAATTTTTTTTAGTTTTTTAACAAAACATTATTGATTATTATTGAAAACCGGTCGCCATACTGAAAAAATAAATCCATAATTTTAGGACAAAAACACATTTATCAAATTTTCCAGATTTGAATATCTTCAGTTCCCGTCTCAGGGTGTTCTGAATTGATCATTGTTTGGCGTAATACAATGGGATAATAATTTTTGGGGCTTAATCCAAATATGCAGCACAACAAATATTTAAACCTCACGTTTAGAAAGCGTTTAAGGAATCTCATACAAAAATGTCATCCGACCCCGTCACCCTCCGGCCTACAATTTTACATTAATATGTGCCATGTTTGATTTTGTTGTGTTTTTAATGATTACCAAGTTTTCATGTTATTTATTTTATTTATTTAAGAGGTGTTTCCCCTCTCTACCTCTGTCACTTTTATTTATTTATCATTAATACAAAATTATATAGGACAGCAAAAAGTACAATTAATCTAAAACTGTACGTTTATTATCCACAAGTAACTAAATAAAACTAAAGCTTAAAGTACAAAATTTGTTATATAATTCTTCCTAAAAAAACCGTTGAATAAATGAATTGAGTGTTTGCCACAAAATCAAGTTTTCCAATCTCTATAGTTGCAACCTGTTGGTGTAAACCTGTGATATTTATTTAGTGAAAAATCAGAGTTTGTGGCAAAGATTCAATTCTTATCTTTGAATAATGAACCATCACAATTTCACAGTATGAACTTTTAAGACTTGCCTAGATGTTTTGGTTTATTTGCATCTTTAAAAAAGTCAAATAACTTCACCATTTTGAATTTTCCCGCCAACTGTGGCCGTGTGTTTGTCTGAGGAGTCTGAGTGCCAACTGTGGCCGTGTGTTTGTCTGAGGAGTCTGAGTGTGCCAACTGTGGCCGTGTGTTTGTCTGAGGAGTCTGAGTGTAATCTATCTATCTATCTATCTATAGATCTATCTATCTATCTATCTATAGATCTATCTATCTATCTATCTATAAATCTATCTTATCAACTTCCAATTCGTCTGTCCAAAAATATACAAAGAACTCATTCCAGATTGTTAAAGTATAAAGAAAATGATTTTTCCAGTCAAATAAATGGATTGTTCTTCTGAAATTTGTTGAAAGGTTTGAACTCGCTCGTTTAGCGACAGACCGACATTGTCACTTTCCGTTCCGTTCGTTATCGTTCAAGTTTAGCGATGCCAAGCACATTGAAATTTTAGGCTAAATCGGGACTACTCCGAAATCGGTTGAATCAAAATAAACTAAATAGAGAACTTGATGAATGAATCTTAACCTAGATCAAATGTGAACGAAAAGAGTTCAGTGGCCGAATTTAAAGAATTTGAGCGGCGGTTTAAATATGGTTGGTTCCACTTAAAATTGTATCAACTGTTCCAAGATTTAAGCCGGCGCTGAATTTAAACCGGGTTTTGGCGGATTTAAACCGCGGCTCAAATTCTTTAAATTCCATCTTGAGATGATGAAATTATTCGATAAATATTGTTTTTCATTGTAAAATTTAAAACATTAATTTAAAAAAAATAAAAATCAACAGAATTTAGTAATTCTATAAAAAAAATCTAAAATGTCTAAGGTCAAAATATAAAAAACATCTCAGGCCCTATTATGAACATTTAAGCATAGAATTTTTTTTAGAAGTTTTTTACATTTGGATATGACCCCCCCCCCCCCAATAATGACGAGGGCAAGAGTTTTACAGGAAAACTAATGAAAACTATAGAATTGCATAATATACAGTGAAAACGTGCACAGTTTTTTACAAATACACGCAAATTTCTTGCAGTAATGCAAAATACGAAAAAATAACAAATCTCCAAACTTTGATTTATTTGGCCAGAAAGACGCGGAGCAAATTTTTATCTATTATTAAGTCTTTTTTCCTTACGCAAGCTTTGTAATCCATAAATGAGGTACTTTCGTTTAAAAATATGAATGATTTGTTAGAAAGATAATAAGTTGGATGTTTAACATCCAATTATGGACCGAAAAATAATGATCAATAAAAATTAGCCGTACATAAAAGTTGGCCCAGAAATTAATTGAAAAAATTCTAACGAATTGTTTGACTAACATTAAAAAGTTGAATTAGAATAACGAGAATTCGACAATAACATTTTCAGTTTAAATCAGAATTAAATTAATATTTAAACCATGTGCAAAAAAATCAATTAGCGGTAATTAATTTTACGAGAAATACTGCATATTAATAAGATAATTCAACTTCAAGTAAAATTTAATTATTGTAAAGAATTTTAAATAAAGAATTCTAACTTCATACACAATACTTAATATTTTACACACCTGAAAGTGTAAGTATTGATACATGACTAGCGATTCAGAAACTGTTTCCTATATAACAGAAAATTACAAAATTTTGCTAAAGTTTGGTTTAAAGTTTGTGTATACACTATACAGTGTATACGGGTGAGATAAATAGACATTAACCAGTTAGGGAACTCTTCTGGTTCTATCAGCCTCACCTTGCAAATCCTTAAAGATATTTTATTTTTAAACCAAGTTCAATATATATACAGTGAGAACCTGAAAACAATGGCATAGGAAGACGATATTAAAGCAATTCTTATGTGTGATGTTGTAACGTTTCACTCGCTATTGGTCTGTTTACACTGCTTAATTGTTGTGTCTCATGTTCATTGGATACTTAAATTCATAATTTGGTCTGGTTTTCTGGTTCTCACTGTAAAATATAGATCCTTTTTTTACTTAACGGTTTTTTTTTAAACCTGAGATAATGTTTTCTTTATACATTACAAAACTGCAATGACAATGTAAAATTTCGCAGATTTCTGTGTTTTCATTTCTTAAAGATCTTTTTTACCGTCCAATAACCCTAGGGTGTCAAGTAAAGTTTAATAAAGAATGGGTTCGATTGGTTTCAACAATTTTGACGTTAATTGAAACAAAGTTGAATGAAAAAAACATTGAAATCTTACATATATATTCAATCATAACTCTTCTCATTAAAAAATGTTTTAAAGGAATTGATTTTTTGCCACAAACTCTGATTGTCTAATCCTAATATCTTTACAATCCAATCTCGTAAACCTTAGATATTTCAAACTATGAATTCTGTTATATTAAATATTCAAAGTTTGAAATTATAAAGATTTAAACCATGCAGTTGCACAGATACAGGGATTCGAAAATTTGAGTTTGTGGCAAAAATTCAATTCCTGTATATTTAGTAACTGGATACATTTTTTTAATCTTTTTTTCATAGTTCTCATAGGCCACACAGTTGTACCAGTTAATAGGTCATAGGTCACACAGTTGTACCCGTTAATTTCGTATAAATTTGACCTTCTCCCTCTGCCTTGAAGTATGCAGCATTTTAAAGTAAATGCCATTTTTCAAACATGAGATATTTACAAATCGGACGTTTGCCAATATATTAAATTTTTTGTAGATACATTTTAAAATAGCAATTCCCCCCCCCCCCC